TATATATATATATATATATATATATATATATATATATATATATATATATATATATATATATATGTGTGTGTGTGTGTGTTTCTGATAAATATTAAGAAAAAACTGAGAAAAAACTTGAAATTTATTTGTGCACTGAGAGAAAAAATAAATGATTTAACTAAACTTATAATTAGTTTTGGCCCATATTTTATTCACTACACTGCAATAACGTGGTAACGACTGATGAGCCATGTGCATTAACGATTCAAGAGCATTTCACGTGCGTCGTCGGTGTGAATCGTAGGCGTAATTTCATTATTTTTTTGATAACGCGAAAATGGTAATATGCACATAAAATTGTTATCACTAAATATATACTAAAATTTAATAAAGAAATAATTTGTTTAATTATAATTTATAGTAATTATTTCTCTATATGATTATAGTTACAAATACCAAACTTTTTTTTCAGTACACAATTCTCTTATCGTTACAGTTAATAATTGTTGCTTGAGTTGAGAGGAGAAGCCGAAGAATTTTATCAGATACACATATACGCCTACGATTCACACCGACGACACACGTGAAATGCTCTTGAATCGTTAATGCACACGGCTCATCAGTCGTTACCACGTTATTGCAATGTAGTGAAAGTTAAAAAAATCGAATTCCGCCGTGAACTGTGTAGAGAGATCGTGTCGCTCGGCCAACGGACGCGCGCGATAGTTAGACTTGGGCAGGGTGTGAGATCGAGAACGCATCGCTTGACATAGGGACAAATGGCAAACGAGTCGGGAGAAGTGGCCCGGATATTCCGGAGCCGGCTTTCGAATGCTCGTGGGAACGGAAGAGCGGGCAAAATGCGACGCGACGCGATAAGTCGACGTGACACATGGCGACCGTTACGGATGTCAGTTTGAATAAAACTCCCGAGGCCTTAGATAAACGCGATATTCTTTGGCATCGAGGCGATATAATAAAGAGGACGTTATTTTGCATACGATCGCGCGGGCGATAGCGATAAAGCGGAAATTGAAGCGCAGGGGTGGCAACATTGCCGTCGTGGCTCGAGTCATTACATCATTCTTCGTAGTATACCGCTCGGATAATATGTTTTCTCGTTACGTCGCGTAGAAAAAGGATTCGCGTAGAAAGAGCTCGTTCACAATGTCGAGCTCGCAAGAAACGACGCGTGCGAGAAACCACGAGTGATGTCTCTGAATAAGCGGCTAGCTCCGCGCGCGTTCACTTGTGACTCGTCTTTTATCTCTGAAGTATCGATGAGTGCAGTGTATCGTGTGTCACAGCGCAATGTGACGTAAAACAGCATATTAGTCCTCAACGTAAAAAAACATAAAGGTTTACTGAATTAGAGTAATTTTTTTCTTCACATTCGAGACTGCCAGATTTCGTGCGCGTGTGTGCATGCGTGTGTGTATGTATACTGTGGAGTCGTTTGATCTTTTTTTAATATACAACATTCTTTGTGTGTTCACGGCGAAATGCGTCAAGAGCGTACGAGTGTGTTTGTGTGTATGTCTATACATATTTTATGTGTAAGTGTGTGTGAGCGAATAAACAGAATGGGAGTTACACATTAGTAATGTTATATCGTGCTGTCACGCCTGCATGCAGCTTACAGAAGGCAAAGTAAACGCTGGTTTTTTTGACGAAAGTTTCGTAGCTCAGCCGTTGTCCCTTGCCCTTCCGATTATGCGCGACTGGAGCGAGACGTCGATGACTAAATATGCCTCTTTTTCGTTTACAGCCATGGCGAGGACCTCATCGTTACACCCTTCGCACAGATTCTTGCTTCTCTGCGCTCGGTCAGGAACAATTTCCTGTCGCTCACGAATGTGCCGACGAACAAGTGAGTAGATTCACGTCTTCCTCTCGATTGACATTAGGCTAGAACACATTGTTGATATACCCTTGGTCATTGACATCTTAGAAAAACCTAATTTTTCTCGCGTTTTTGTAATCATAGAATGCAAACAAGCAACTTAACTGCTGGTTACATGAAAAAGCAGGTTTTTTTTAGAATACCAATAACTAAGGGAGATATCAATAATTGTGTGGTTTACCCTGTTACATATACTTTGAAAAAAAATAGTAAACCTCACAAAAAATTATGGTTATTTTCGGCGCCAGTTATATAATCTTCTTATTGTTATAGAAAAATAGTAGTAGCAATAAATGTGAAGTTATTATCAGTGACACACGTTAATAAGATTTACCGCAAAAATGATTTTTCTGATTATAATTATCTTACTATCTGATTATAATGAAAAATGGCAAACATTCTTATCTCAATGTATACATAGTATTTCTTAACTTGATATCTAATTGATTTTCGACTTGTTTCTTGCAGGTCGCGAAGGAGTAGCGGCCAACAGGGCAGCAGTACGCCACAGCCGCGGATTTTGGCGCCAGGAGGTAAAAATTTAAAATTACATCATTATTACGTCATTATTATGACATTATATATATTACATCGCGCTATGTGAGAGTGAATGGTGTACTTTCGTTGTTGTCGCTTCAGACGGACCTCTCAATAAGTGTTTGCTCACGATGAGAGAAAAATGATCAATCTGACTAAAATTATTTTTAGCTCCAATCATACTTTTCAGTTGCTTTAACACGTAAATGTCAGTAGTAAAATGCATTTAAGGTTGTTATAAACTAACACACACTATAGTAAAAAATTAAATTTAATTTAATTTAATTTAAAAAATTGACCATAATTTACAGTAATTATTTCTCTTCTGTAATTATAGTCACAAGTAGTATAGAACGTTTTTTCTCAATGCAGAATCCCATTTCGAACGCATATTGTCGGCGATTGCAGTTCATTTCGCAGGGACAAGGGATTTAATACGCTTTAGTTGACTATTTGTCAGGCGAGCTTAATCACCGGCAAAGGAGGTTTCTATGCATTTTTATTCGCGTCGTTTATCGTTCATGCGCGCAGCCAAACGTGTAGCCGCGGCTGTTTATTGCTTACCATCGCATTTGAATAATTTTCGTTCCTCTATTCGGGGATTTCCCTCGCAAAACACGCGCGAACCTCCAAACCCTCCGATGGGGTATCCTCATTCCCGCCATCTCATCAAAGTTGTACCAACTTCGCTTCGTCGCGTTTCGCGTCGACTTTCTTTGTGGCGGCAATTTTACATCTAGGTCACGTTCTTTCGCTAAAGAACGCATTTATTATTACGACCTTCGGGACACACGCGCGCCCAGCTGTTTTCCTCGAATTTCGTGCTTTTTGAGATTGTTGCGTTGGCCCCGAGGGCTTCATGATTCTTTTATCGAGCGCAGTTTAAAATTTTAGACGTTCTAAAGACCTGACAATAACATTGTGAGTGTATGTGTGTGAGTGACCTCAAACAATGAGAGATAAAATATTAAAAGATCAATTCGAAATTTCACGGTCAGGTGAAAGCCAATTTTCCACGACGAGAATATTTGATGCGTGGTCGTTTGTACATTGAGAGAAAAGACTGGTAACTATAACAAACTGCATTTAGTTACAGAAATTCATTGAATCCTTAGTAACTAATGTTAAATATGATAATAATTACCAAATATTTAATAGATCGGGAGTATGACGTAATTGCATTCACAGTAACATCAATTAAATAATTTAGTAATAGTTACTTAATGTTAAATATTTAATATGAAATATATTACAGTTATGAACAGATATTTTATAATTGTTATGAAATCGTTATATCCCATATAATAAAAAATTCAGTAGGTACGAGTTTTATTTTGTTATCAGTATAAGTATGTTTTGTTGCAGCACAACGAAAAATTCATTCATTTGCAGCTATTACATCGTTTCAATATCTATTATAATATTATAGATAGTTGTTTGAACCTATCAAAAATTTTGTAACTATTACAAAATCGCTTATTTTGCTCAACTAATCAATAAGTTTTATTTACCAAATATATTCTGGAAGCAAATAAATTTTACTTCTGTCAAATAAATAATTTATTTTACAGAACTAAATTAATTAATAAGTATTGCCATAGCTTTGGCTCGCTATATTTACGTCTATCATTTAGTAATAGTAATCAAATTTTGATAATATTTACTAAATTTTTCTCTCAGTGTAACGTTGCTTTTTTCCTATAAACATCGTTTACAATGTCTCTTGAAGGTTTCTACCGAATTTTAGATGACTTTATAGGAGAATAAATAATGTAGAGTTCAGGATGTCCTTTTGATCTCGAAGAGCGTGGCAAGTTTGGCCGAAAGCCGTTCTCAGTTCGGACGAAACCTTTTCACGTTGATTTATTGCTCGGCGGCGCGCAAATGTGCTTTTATAGTATTAAATTTGCTTTTCCTCCTGTTTTTCAGAGGAGCCCTTCATGAAGCTGGCTGTGGAAACAATAGAAGAGCTAGACTGGTGCTTGGATCAGTTGGAGACCATTCAGACGCATCGATCCGTGTCCGACATGGCATCTCTGAAGGTACGATCTTATCCGCTTATATTTCCCTCCTTCACCCTTTTCCCTTTCTCTTTCTCTCACGCCTTGTTCTATCTTTCTCTCTATCCCTTGGTCAACGCGTTTTCTGAATTCGATTTCTCGTGTATTTTGCGAGTCTCAAAGAGAGACTCTCTGCCTCGCGTTGTATTCGCGCCCACACGAGATGTCCCGAGCGGGATCTGTCAGACTTTCGTTATACAAATAATTTTAAGCAGCAGAAGCCGTGCAAACGCGAATCCAATTCGCTACGGTCGCGGCACACTCCGAGCAAATTTCACATATCCTGGAGTAAATTCCCCGCGGAGGGTCGGCACAATAGCACGGGATGTAAAAAGAAAAGCGTACCGGATAGACGAGACGTAAATTAAAAGAGCTCTCGTCGGATTTCCGAGCTTTTCTTGTTTTTCGAGGATTTCGAAAAAGCCGTCACTTTCTTTCCGCGATCATCCGGGTGACGCACTTCTCAAATCCGACGCGTTCTTCCAGGAATGTCTCGTCCCGATAAATGCTTCCATTTCACACATTTGTTCCGCGTTATTGAGTCACCGTTAAAATTAATTATTACACGCCGGTGATTCGACATACATACAAGAAGGAGCGAATTTGCGTCATTGCGCGATTGCGCATTTCTTGCTTCTGCTTCGTTCGCGACGGTAATTAACGACGCCGATAATGTCGGCTCATTGTACGAGGATGCGTCGACGACATGTTGCGAATAAATCGAGCGTCACGCGCGCACCAGCGATTCAATTGCCCATCTTCACCCGCGCGTTACGATAGACAGGACGAAATCCACCCTCGGTTTGCGCGTGAACCCATCGCACGGGCTTGAGCCCAGCACGAGATGTATCGACGGCACCCTATTATTCGATTACACGACAGACTACCGTGTGCTGCTACGTGCGGGAACTACGCAATCGCTGAGATCGCACCACAACTCGTAAGCGGGATGATCCGTCTCTCTCTCGGGAATGGCTCGCAGTTCAAATATTACCCTTGAAATCGCCAAAGACATAACAAAATACCGCAATTATAGCGCTACTTTGGCTTCATGAATATGCCGTACGTACTAATGGCGTTTTTAACAGATCGAACCGAATCAGAATGCTCTGATCAAATCGGTAATGTTGATTGTAAGTGTGCTCTGTGTGCACTAACCAATGCCATATTAGTTCCAAATGCTAGAGCACTGAGTATATATTGCGGTACACTGAAAAAGAAATGTTTCATATTTGTAATTATAATTATATAGAGAAATAATTACTCTCTAAATTGGGTCTAAACCATATTTTGTGATTATCAATACGAAGATAGTAACATTTATATAATTTTATTATTATATTATTATATCATTATATTATTTTATTATTATCATTAAAATTGTAGTAGGATTGACTAAGAAATAGTTGTCTTGACCATAATTTATAGTAATTATTTCTCTGTATGATTACAACCTATACAAACATTTTTCTCTCAGTGTACTTCATTGTATCCAGTGACTTTAATTATCCGGGCACAAAGGTGCGATGACCGTGCGCAACGTCAGAAAGAAACAATCCGTTTAAACGCGTTTAAACGCGTTAAACAGTATTGGCGTTTATTCGCGTTTATTCGCGCCGCCAGTAAATGGCCACTTATCGTTCGGACAGGGACGAGATCGTTCCTGGATGACGTTCGGCATCGTCCCGCGTAGCCCGGCGCAATTTCCGCGCGGCTCGTTAATCGCCCGCGTCGTTCCGGCCGCGGAATTTCCAATTTCCACGGACGTGTCGGCAACGTCAAAAGCGCGAAAACAGAATCGCTCGAGCGTCACAATCCACTCCTGCGCGGTTCAAGCCGTGACGACAGCGGAGGGAAAATTGCGATTTTATATTCTGCGGCTAATCAACGTGGCCGTAAGAGGCAGTAGTTGTCGGAGAACCGGCGAGCGCGATATTTATTTTGTTGCCCCGATCGATTTTTTGTTAAAAAAAGACCTCGCCCCCTGGGGCCGTTTCACAGAAAAACGAAATCTCGTTCTTCACGCGGAACGTTCTTCAGCTAATTAAGATAAGTGCTGAAGGGCAAACAAGAGCTTGCACGTTGATTGTTGGCGCGCAAAAGGAAGTTAATGTACTCGCGATGTCTGATTAACAATATGAAATTAAGCGAAACGCGTGTAAATCAAACGTACGTTTCGTACTGTAATTAGAGATTCTTTTAAATGGTTACTCACAATAATAATACAAGTCCAAGGATTGCTTGTTCTTTCTTTTTTGTCGGTTATTCTGACATTTATCTTGACTTCAATATCGCTGCAAATATTTTGCGTGTGTATATATGTGTGTGTATGATTGTTGAAAAGGATCCAATTACAAAGGAGACTGAAAATACGCATGTTTAGTTTAAATATATTTTGTTCCATTTTACATTGTTAGTCAGACATTATATGGAGAGAATTTTGTAGTAAAAATTATTATAAAATTTTCTAACCGAGAAATAGACAAACATTCTGCAGTAATTTATTATCCTTTCGTTTTTCATATACGGAAAAAATATTGTAGAAAAAATCATGATATTTTTGTAATCTTGAATCATACACAGAATTATGATAAAATTTACCACATATTTGTTTAAAAATGTTATGCGCGTTTGACTTTTTACCACAAAATTATTAACTAACTAAGTAATAACTTGTTGTTTTTTATATCTTATACTAGGTGGATTGTCAAATTTATTATTTCTACGATAATTTATACCACAATTTCCGTATGTGTCCTAGTTTTGCAAAAAACACTGTAAAAAGAGATATAATTTTAACGTAATTTTCACTAAAATATTTTCTCCGCGCACGTGCTATTTATATCTCAGGAATTCTGAAATATGCTATTAAAAAATATGCTCCTGACGCAATTTATCATGTTATTATTAGCAAAGCAGATGATCTGTTCCTGCACTACTAAAGACATGATAAATCGAAGAGAATTTTTATGAAAAAAAATCATTATTTTGTAAAATTTTTTTGTTTATCCACCGCACAAACTGATGGTGGCACGCGAACGTGAATATTTCTCCGCGCGCTCGAAATATTTATTGCGCGTTTCGATGTGCTCCAATAATGCGCTTATAAATTTTTACGTCCCGCGCAGAGATCTGACAGTGTGAGCGAATGTTGCTCTGATATTTTGCTTTGATCATGCGGCCTGTTTCTTCGAGATTTCATCGTTAAGCGGCGCCCGTCAAACTTGAGCGCGGCAATTAAGTTTCTACTCAGGGGATAGTTGGCGAAAATGTCGGCTATTGACATTCCAATCGGCGAATGCACTGCACTCGCTGTTCGCTCCGCGAAATCCGTCACCCACCTCTCTGCGTGATTTTACTTTCTCCAGGCTACTTCTTCTTTTACGCAATTTTACTTTCTCTAAGCGGCGCGCTGAATGGCGAACGCGTTTTTTTCGTCCTCATTTTTTAATTCAGCGACGCGCCACGTGTAGCTCCGCGTGGGTGTTCAATTAACTCGGATACTTTTCGCGTTGTTTACCATCAGGAGAAAATTGAAACAAAAATGCGAGAGATCAGATAAATTCGTGGGAACAGCCACGTGATAATAATAATCCAACCAAATTTGTAGCCGTTTCCTAAAACAGATTTTCTCGTTGAAGAACGTTGTTTGAACGTTCGCGAGTCTGAAATTGCAGTGCAGTTAAAAATACATGGAGAAAATGCTAAGGATATTATTTGCCTAAATATGATTGCCGTAACGAAATATTAATGTTAATGTTATGTTTCGCCCACGCACATACTTAAGGAAATGTTTTGCTGGCCCATATAGAATTCTAATGTCAATTTAATTCTAAATGTCAATTAAGATTTATCGCTGTTTTTTGTATTTGGAAATCAGTATAGAAAAGATATAGATTGTCATAGAGAAAATTGTCTGTGAGACGTAGAATTTGCGGCAACAGCATTTTAACAATATCTGCGAGCAAATTTATGAATGGATGTGAGGATTATATATTCGTTTGTCTCTCGTCGCTAGTCTCTTTCTTGTCTACAACAATATTATTCTTATTAAGCTAAAAGCTGACCTTTAATGTCATATTTATATAACTTGAAATCACGTAAATTTTCTCTCTATATATTATAGAACACGTGGGTGTAGCATCCCTAACAGTTTTTCCCGCGCATAAACGGAAAACTGATTTTTTCTTGAAATCGCTATCCTCCTCGGCGACGAGGAAATTACTCCGATGCTTTCCGCCGCTGGTCTCCTTAATCGCCACCTCGAGGCTAAGTAAATTTTCCATCGCTTTGTGCAGTTGTCGTGGCTTCTAAGGCTGAAAATATTAATGCGCAACTAGTTACCTGCAAAAATTCTTTAAAATCCTTTGTCGAGATGAATTCACGCAAAATCAAGTGAATATTCACTCATATTGCGTGAAGCACGCTTTGAAATATTTTTAATATTATTATATTTATAACATAAATACTAAAATACGTAATACTAAAATGCGAGAGAGATTTCTCTTTGTAATTATTCGCGTCATATATATAACATAAAAACGCAGTAACCATTTAAAGATTTGTAAAAATGAAAAGAGAGAAATGTGTGTGTGTGTGTGTGTGTGTGTGTGTGTGTGTGTTAAATATTGCCTTGGGTATAATTCTGATTTCTCAAATGTTTTTTCGTGGAATTCTATTTTAAATTCTGTCGCGACTTGTTCAAAGTGAACTTTATAAATTGAATTAAAGACGACTCTTGAAACGCGGGAAACTGCATCGCGAAATAACGTCGATCCGATAAGAGTGACACAATTTTTCTAAATTCGCGCAGTCGCGTGAAATAATTTGATCTCGAATGTAGCGTTCGGTCGCGCTTCTCTTATTGCTCGTTCCTATCATCGGACGTCATAGCTTTCTCGAATTCGCTCGAAAGCGTGTCCGTGTAGAGACAGAGAAGATGCAGGAAAGCGCCTTTGCTTTTTCGTACGTCGCCGCCATCGTCGCGACGCGTTTCTCTTTCTACACTACGCGCGGACTTAAATATTTCATGCTTATTCTCACCTCATAAATTATTCATTTCCGTAAACGTCGAACGAGCGAAATACTTGCCATGCTTTTCAACTGTTACATATCGGCCCTCACGTTCGCCAAGTCGACATAACGCCGGCGACGCGACAGATCCGTACTTTCTTTCTGCTGACAAAAGAAACGTCATCGCGTTTGTCGCGTGCGCGTGTGACGCGCATAAGGACGCTGTCGGTGTTCCTTGTTCGTCGAATTGACGTCGACGTAAATGTGCACTCTGAAAGCAAAATGGCACGTGCGTCAGTTCGGTGAAAGAAAAGACGAGTCTAGACGCGTTTATAAATTAGGGCGATCCTTATCGGCAGCTCACAGCCTCGTTCTTCTCCTGTCGTCGATTATTTGAAATTGAGATTAACCGCAAAAGGTGAGCCGTCAAGTAAAATTGTCGCAACGCGACTCATTTTCCTTTCTTTTGCGTAAATTTTCCTCATGTCTGCCTGTGAATATTTTATTGTTCGATGAGAAAGAAACGAGAATAATTCTTTAATATATCATGACATCAAATGCGTTCTCGATCGAGACGCATTATTAACGAACATATATTATTGACGGTATACACTGTAGAATATATTGTGGTAGACTCTGGAATATTGTTTCAAACGAGTTTCTTCGGACGTTTATTTTCAGTACTGTGAGAGAAAAAGTTTTGCTAATCTAACAAAGTGCCAGTAATAAATGGCTTGTTGATATGAGACAGCAAATCACCTCGTAAGAACAAATCTATTATTTTCAATTTGCTGTTCCAGAAACGATACTTCTGTACACGGAGAAAAGTGCTATATCCATATATTCTGTAGTCAGAGAGAAAATTTATGTGATTTCAAGTGAAATAGATATGGCATTAAAAGTTTTTGTCGTTGCATATTCATCTAACGTTCCTTCCGTTCGCATTGTGTCACGAAAATTTCCAAAGCGCGTTCTCGGATTATTCATTGCGACATATTCGCTGAAACCTCGTGGATTCTGGCGCGAGGTGGGAGCCCCGTATCGCGGGTACCGATTACACATTCGCTTGACTCACTTCAGCCAATTAATCAGCCGAAGATCTTTCGCAGAAGCAAATAATCGCTATCACAATTGCTATTTCCTCCTAGCATTTCCGCATTTGCGTTTCGTTCGTCAACTAAAGCCCGTATTGCGCTACACCGTTAAAAGTTTTGTACTAAAATTTGGACACATGTCGCAATTTGTCTACTCTAATTTTTCCATTAATTTGACACAAAGCAAGTATGTAGACAAATAATCCATATACTTTACGTGTAAAATATGTCATCAAGAATTTTTTCTTTCTCGTAACAATATTTACACATAAATTGTGTCATTTTAACACTTAGATGCGGTAAACTCAACTAATAGTAGTTAAAATAACACAACGACATTCAATACATTAAATTAACATAAAACTTTTCACGTGAGTCGATTTCAACACAGATATCTTTTATCGTGCAGCGATTGGCGGCTGCGTCTGCGTTTACAATTATCTCTTGATCGATTGGAAAAGAACTGGAAAAGAGATCACGATCCGCGATTCTCGCTTAGCCGTCCTTTGGTTTTGCATAATCGTAATATAATTATTAATATGATATGGGCTTAATGAGGCTCATGTGACGTGGCGCCGGCATTTTCACAAAAAGTGATGTGTCATCTCTTATACGTTCTACACGTCACGTGCAGAATCCGCGAGGTAAAAACGCGTGGGAGTAGAGCCGAGGGAAAGGCTATTCCAATCGAGGCGATGCGAAACGAGCTGCGGTGAGAGTTGAATATTCATTACTGAATTATCGATTTGCAAAATGGAGCGATCTGCAAAATAGCTACTATAATATATTGCCCATCGTCGTGGAAGAATAAGCGAACTTTCGCATGGTCTGTTGGCGATAAAACCAATATAACTCGTAGAAAGCACCTTCACGATATGCACCTTCAAGGTATACACGTAGTGTGCACCTACGCACCTGTTCGCGTTCTTTTCCAAGATAAAAGGTCATGTCTCTCGCTGACAAATCGCCTTGACCTGGCTTCGTGAGGAATTAGAGCTCGCGCTTTTTCTCTCTGTTTCACAGGGAAAAAGAAATATGGTTGGATTAACTAGATACCTAGTGATTTGATTTTTGTAACTTTAATTGGGATTCTAGTTCGTTCATATTCTACCAGATATTTAGTTAACCTACGAGCAAAAAACGAGACGAGCAAAAAATTGTTAACTAACATGATAATCCTCGCGAAATCCCACGTGTCTTCCTGAATAAACTCGCCAAAGTCGTTCCTCCGACATAATTCTTTCAGAGGCGCACACGATAAGTCGAATAAAACGCCGCGATTCTGATTTATTATCTGGTAGACGCGTGACCGAATTATTGAGACTGCACGTTGATTATATCGTGATAGCTGATTTCTCGGGTGCGACGCGCTCGTGCGTAAGTCCATTGATTCCGTGACAGTGCCGCTGACAGGATTACTTCAGCCGGAATTTATTCTATTGTGTGTGAATGGTAGAATCATCCCCGTTGTGGGCCTGCAACTGAACATCAGAAAAATCAAACAATATTCCCTGGCATTGTTCTTAATATCGCGACGTGATTATCCGAAGATGAAATGTCTATTACGTTAGTAATTGTCCGTGTGCCACTTCTCAAATTAGCGTTACTTCTCAAATTAGAGATGAATAAAATTAGAGGTTTCTGTGAAATAAACTTTATATCTCACGAGTAAATTTTCAAATATTTTTTTCTGAGTGTAAGAGGAGTTGATATATGTGAAATAAAATTAATTTCTGTACAATAAAGTTGACCTCCGGGTATGTAAACTTTATATCTCACGAATAAAGTTTCAAGTATTTTTTCTCAGTGTATTTTTGAGGATACACCACGATTCAAAGAGATAATTAGCGATACTCGGAGTCGCGATATTCGTCGGGATTGCCGACATTCGAAAACCTCGACGTCGATTCACTTACCCGTCCCAACGCCATTCCGCATTCACATGTCACACCTAAATGCATTCGGCATGCCCGTACGCCGGTTTATTTGTATGTATTCGGTGTAGTGTAGTGCGCACGCTTTGTTTTTGCTCTCGGCACATGTCACACCTTTGACCTATCGGTGAAAATGCATGACCGCTTCCGACCAGTCGAAAAGTAGATACGCTCTCATTGATGTCACGCTGTATTCTCTGATATCGTCATCCCCTAGATCAAGTTCGGCAAACTTTGGCGGTTCTAGAAATCATCACGATGCGTGTAATCGTAACAATCCTATTGAATAGCGCTCATGGTAGAATTATTTGTAGTTTAATGGGGGCTATAACGCACTTCAAGCTGGCAACTGAAAGTAACAGTATATTACGTTTTATCGCACTACAGACTGACTCAACTGCGCGCTCGTTCGAATGCCTCTTACGCAATTCTTTCTGAATTCGAATCGCACCACGTAGAATGAAGCTCTCCTCTTCCCATGTGAATAAGAAATAACGTTCGTACGCCGATTCAAGGGACATGCCCTTGTGAGCGTCGCTCGCTCTTCGAAGAAAATCGATACTTTGAATTAATTGACCTACATCGACGCCGAGGATTCGTGACCTCATCATCAAGCTCGATGCGAATACACCGATCGGCACATACATACACTGAATACAAGGAAAAAATACTTGAAAATTTATTTGTGGGACAAAAGTTTATTTCATAGAAATTAACACACTTAGGAATACACTTTGTATCTCACAAATAAATTTTCAAATATTTTTCTCTCAAAAAAGCATTTTGTTGTCAAAACAAAAATCTGATCTATCGGGCCAAATAATTTGGTTGAAATGAGATCAGCCAAAATGTTGGTAAATGTAGCCAAAAAATTTTATTGTCGTTGTTTCGCTTTCTCAATAATACATCTCACTTGATATAAATAAAAAACATGCCAACTAAATACGTATGTATCAAATATTTTAGTTCCAAATACAAAAATAATTTTCTCAGTATGGATATACACTCTGATTGAGAGATGCTCCATTTCGTACGCATTTCATCCTCCACACTATATTTTTGTTATTTTATTTAGCAACTTTGCAACAGATATTCACCACGGAAAGCATTTTTAGTACATTATCCCGTGTGGCGTCCCGTCATTAAAATATCACCGTGTCGCAAAGCGTAAACGTTAAGGAAGAACCGGGAAATTTCCATCGGAGATCGAATGCGCGCGCGGCGCCCGACATTAAATATCCACCTTTCTCGTTTTCGAAACGCCCGCAGCAAACATTTACTCGCGTTTTCGCACTCAATTCTGTCCGCGGAACTTTTCACAAAGACCCCAGCCACGGCTTGTACCAATTAGCGTGACCAACCGGTCCATTGCGTAAATAGTCCGTTTTATTTGCTGTTTGACGCTCGAATCATTTTGCATCACGCAAAGAGATGCTCACTTGGAGAGAGAAAGAGAGAGGTTCGAATCACCTAAGTAGTTAACGAGAAGCTCTGTAGCGCACACAGCTGGATTTTCTTCCAGCTTAACGCCTGCCTTCTGTCGTATCTCGCTGCCGCGGAAACGCGTTTGTCTAAGGCTTATTCTACAGGCGATAATTCATAATTCGCAACGAGACCCTCGACGGGAATTCTATTTGTAGTGTTTTGCGTTGGCAAAAAGTCTCAATTCGTGTAATTGATCAGGTCAAAAATTCGCTGGAAAAAAACGATATCTTTGTTACCGCCACCAAGAACATTTGTCTGAACATTTGGCTGCATTAAAATTTGGTTGAGAAAAGTAAGAATAATTAATCGACTATAAAGATCCCGCAGGAATATTTTCTACACTGAGAGAAAAAAATATCTGAAAAATAAAAGTATTTATTTGGTGGAAATACTAATTACACGTTTACTTAAACGTTATTTAAATAGAAAATTTAAATTCTGTTATTTAAGAAGAATTTTAGAAGAAACAATTGCTTTCATGAAAAACTCGATTTTTTAAAAATGCTTATCTTTTTACTTGAAAAATATTTTATATAGTACAAGTGAATATGTTATCAGTGCTCATATCGAATAAATATATTTTATTTCTTAGATATTTTTTCTATCAGTGACAATCGAGGTTTCTTTTAGTCTTTGTACTGAAAAAATTCTTGAACATTTATTTGTGGGATATAAGGTTTATTTCTGTGGAATAAATTTAATTTTTGTAAAATGAAATTTATTTCTGTGAATAAACTGTATATTCTACAATTTAATTTTTTTTGCAACACTTTTTTTGGTGAAACAGGCTTATTCTGCAATTTTGTTTACGTTTGCGTTTATGTTTACATTATGTGTTATCATATAGATACATAATATTACATAAAGATACATAAATATAGATACATATAGATACATAAATTGCGCGACGACGTTTAACGATAACGATATTATCGTTGAGAATTATACAATAAGCACACGGGTAATAGCAAATTCAGTTACACGGAGAAAAAATACTTGAAAATTTATTTATGGAATATAAAGTTTATTTTTGTGAATAAGTTTTATACTGAACAACAAATAAATTTTTACGTATATATTTTTTTTCTGTATATATTCTAATTGACTTTGTACTTTGTACTTTCCTCGTATGTAATACATTTCAGTAAAGAGCATTCGAATTTTACAGACGCGATCAAACCGAAGAAACGTCTTTGCGATATCGCGATGTTGAAGCATGAATGATATTGTTTATCAAGAGTATCATGAGCGCAGAAAGGACAAGGTCAAGAGAAATCGATAGGCTCGATTAGAGCGTGCTCTGTCCGATTACGGAGTCTACGAACTGTGACTAAGCCGGATTTTTAAAGGAACCGCGGCGTCGAACAACGTTGATCGCAGATCGCGATGAGAGGATTCAATCACGACGCGCTATCACGCCCGGCCGTTTAACCTCTCCTCCGCAAGGTTCAAGGGACCTCGTGCTCCATGTATCGCTGAGCGTCACGTGTCACGAGCGTCGTGCGTGATCGTTGTCGCGCCCGCGTGTGTGTGTATCGTATAAATAAATCGTCAATTCCACCAAAATACTTTGACGCGTGGCGACGCCGCAATATCGTCGCGGCCTCAATGAGATGCTCAACGAAGTATCGCTCACATCGCGATATTTCTAGACGCTATCGAAAGGCGTTCTAATTGAGCTTGTCAGTTCTGTTTGGCCTTGTTTGCAGTATTTCTGGCTGTAAAGTTTTCTTTCTTCGTTTCTTCTTCGTTAATTGCCCGATAAGAATAGTCTAGTCGATTCTGAGAATCAAGTATTCGAAAAGTTTCTTTGAAATAGCTTACAGTATTTTTTTTTTTTTTTTTTGATATAACAAATATATACTTTAATTAAAAACACATTTTGATCAGGTCATTGTACTGTAAACTATATTGCTCCGCGCCATAAAGGACTTAACTATACTTTGCGGATTCCGATAAGAAGAGAGGACAAATAGTCACTCGCTAGTCTTACAAGCCAACTCTCTCTCAGCTGTTCTTCTCTGACTCTTCTCCTCACAGAGGTATCACAGGCACTTGAATTGAATAATAGTGTTTAAATGTTACATCTTTGCGTTAATTTTTAATAAAATCATTTGTGTTATGTAAATTTAACATAACATTTTTGCAGTGTGACATTACCATTACTTTAAAACGCTTAACGTTCATTTTCCTAACATTATTGTTTTTCGTGCCGAAATATTTATCGATCATTTAGCATCAATACCATTCTTTGCATCTTCTTCGCTTCAATAGCTGTTTCTGCTATTGTCAATTGCGATCACGAAAGAATCTTTCGCACAGTTCTCAAAACTCCGACGTCTTGATCCGCGCAATCGATCGAAGTCACGATATATTGACATTAGTTATATCTTTGATACGAACCTGATCAGATGCATGTGTAAACAGCCCGACGAGATATCTCGATGCGTCTTCAGGCTGCATGTGCATACAGCCACGAACTCTCGCGCGGAATTGAAAGATATCGTCGCGGCATATTTCGGTCGAACTATCGCTCTTGTTTGGCCGACGTCGGCAAACTCTTGTTTCTACGTACGCATGCATGCATACATGCATACATTTTCATATCATATCGCGTTTATGACTAGCGCATTTGTTTTTCTAGGATAAATGTTACCTAGCAGCGTATCACGCGTTATTACACGTGAGTTTGCGCGCGCGCGTTTTCGTTACAACTGCGAATTTACTAAACGGCATTTCAAGGTAGACCAGAGAGATAGTCACGTAACTACCGTGCTGATATGTAAACCGCAGATAATGGCCGGCGAATCGCGAGCCGTTTGTTATTCCTCCGCGAAGAACTATTTCGGCGAAAGCGCGCGTTAATTGCGCGTTTTCGCGAATAAATAAATTGCGATGCCGCAGTGCGTTCGACGATTATTCATTCGCGAAAAGTAACAGCACGAAACGACCGGCAATAAGTGGGATGATCGATAAACAATGCGCAATTAGCGCGGATATTCGGGGGACACTTGTGTCGGACGTTTCAGTTATAATTTACGATAACGCGTGCACCCCTAGCGAAGAAACGGTCGCGAATTAACGAGAAAATGAATCAATTAATCATCTAAATCCGATGCTTTACATTTACTTTCGAAGTAAAACAAACGATACGCGGGGTGAGTCGGTGTCGTAGTCGACTATTGCCGCCTGTGCTAGGATTCTGTAACTCGTTATTGGAGTTAACGACAGTTTCGTTGCGCAGCTTTTGTATATCGTAGAAAAGTTGCGCAACGATAACGAAACTGTCGTTAACTCCAATAACGAGTTATAGAATCCTAGCACTGGAATATTTCTCGAAGCGAGAAACAAAAGGTCTGTTCTTTCGCTCTGCACTGCTGCACTGGTGCAACAAGTTAAAGTAAGACAAATATATATCTTTTTCACTCTTACTTATTGCACCAGTGCAGTAGTGCAGAGCGAAAGAATAGTGTTGACCTTAAGTTCCTCGAAGTTACTTATTGTTAGAAGAGAAAAGAGCGTCCTGCGGCGATGATGCTTCTTTTTTCTAAGTAGAGCAACTTTGAAGATATTTAAAGATCATCCTTGTTTTTTTCGCTTTGAAGATATTTCAGGTGGCAATAGTTACTGACTTACTCAGTGTACATTTATATTCACCCAAAACATGCTAACCCCGAGTTTCGCGGAACGACGACACACTGCTGCTGAATAATACATACATTCTTACGCGACGTGACGGGGCTTACACACAACCTCAGTTTGTGCCGAATTTCACCAGTTATTCGCAGAGGGGGAGCTCTTTCGTCTTGTTTTATACCGCCGAGATTTACCTTCCTTCTGATCATTATAGAGATTCGCTAAACGTCCTCCGAGGGAGGAGACTCGCGGTGCGCTGGTCCGATCAGCAAGAAGTTCCGTCGTCTCTGCTGAGTTCTTTTGTATAATTGCAAATCACCTCCTTTTACACTGAGAGCAGAACATAGTTGAACTAAAATCGTAGTTATTTTTGGCCTTAACCGTATTTTTTATAGCGAAATGATAGTAGTAACATGCGTACAAGATTATATCATCACTGATCTTATAGTAGAATTTAATTAAAAGAAATGGTTTTCTTCACTATAATTTTATACGATGCATTTATTACGGTATATTTTATAATATTATGCTAAATTTGTTATATATAGTACATTATATATAGTACATTATGTATATATAGTAGTAGTATATTTATACAGTAACACACACAATATTTCTCTCTGCATGATTGTTGTGCGATTACAAATACCAAACATTCTTTTTATGCATGGCGACGAACGAGTTGCGCATTCGACGTGTTTTACCGCGAAATATTGTTTCGTTACAATTCAGTAGTCTCATTTCATTTATTCAGCACTTCAAGATTATTTATTCAGCCGTTTGCACCCGAGCGCGACGCACATTTTTACAAACAAAAATATAGGTTGCGCGTATACACTTCTGAAATGCGGTATTCCGTGAAATATATTCCGCTCGGTGCACACGTGTCGCTCCACGGCATTTTCTCATCATGCTTTTCATTGTTACAATTAGTCGATAACGCTCTTCTAGGTACTCAAAATGTATGCGGCGATGCACAACTCGCCACACCGTTTGTTACACCACATACACGCGCTATGTTGGAATCCGTCACACGTCGCTGATGGATCGCCGCGTTTGGATAATATTAGTACGTTAAATAACGAAGTGATCCGAAAATCGGCATGAATAAGGGAAAGTATATCTTCATCAAATCGTCGAGAAGTGCTAACCCTTTGGCCATTGGATAAATATAGTCCATATAGTTGAAATTTGACATGGGCATGTATATTTTGATTACGTTGACACACGCTTCTATAACAGGCCATGTAACTTTCGTACTCCTTACGCAGTTTATTATCTTGATAAGTTCCTGTATCACTTGTTTTGTTTTATTATTGTCAATTTCATCGGGCATATTTTCGAGACTGGTATCGTTTATGCTTGCTGCTGAAAAAGAAAACGGAAAAGCATTAAGACTGTGTCGATTATGTACGATCGAATATTTCAATTGACACAACAACACAACAATAAGTGCTTGTCCCATTTGTGTATCACGTTTTTCATTCTGACTTCGGACATCTTTCCGACGCGAATTCGCAAGGCTCGTAACGCAAGCCTATTTCTCTCCTGTTGAAACGAATAAAAATCATTTTGTGACGCGACATCGTGTCTTATATTGTTTACACGCAATAATAGTTTACGGCAGTGTGGACTTGTATTACTCTAATAAGAAAGAGATATATTAACGAAAGGAACGAAGGAGAGGGAAGACTTTCTCGAGAAGCGCGTTACACTTAGAGAAGTTACATTTACAGAGAAAGAACTACTTAAAAATTCACTTGTGGAGTATATATATATATATATATATATATATATATATATATATATATATATATATATATATATA